ATGTGTGGATGGATGGATGAATGGATGGTGGATGGATGAATGGATAGATGGATGTGTGGATGGGTGAATGGATAGATGGATGGATGGATGGATGGATGGTTGGATGGATGGATAGATGGATGTGTGGATGGGTGAATGGATGGATGGATGGTTGGATGGATGGATGGATGGATAGATGTGTGGATGGATGAATGGATGGTGGATGGATGGATGGATGGTGGATGGATGGATGTGTGGATGGATGTGTGGATGGGTGAATGGATGGATAGCCTGGATTCTCAGCCAAAGGCTCAAATGCTTCAGTGTGTAGAAAGTATGAACCTCACCATGGAGGCAGGGGGACACAGACCTCCCTGGACGGCCACCAAGCCATGGGCCAACGGCTCTCAGTGTGAACAGGGTAGGGCTCTCGTGACTGTGCACCCTGTGCCCGTCCCTTGAGCTGTGTCCATAGAATGTGCCTCTCTCTTTGGCTCTAGAAGCTTCTCGGCCTCAACCTTTCCCAAGCCAAAAGCTTGGGAAGTGGCCTGGGCTTGGCTCCTGCTGGGAGCCTGGACCGTCCAGTGGAACCCAGTTGGGTATGACCTGGGCAAGCCTGGCTGCTGAGAGCCCCTGCACTTCACCCTGGGCGGGCAGCTCCCTGGCAGCAGACCCTCTGGGCTCTGAAGCCCACCTGTCTCTTGCCAGCCACTGGACTCGGGCTAGTCACCTCTCCCTCGGGAGCCCAGTCCACTGTCGGTAAAGGGGGCCCGTGGCTGCTCCTTCATGGCTTCACCTGCAGACTGCGTGGGGGTCTGTAAAGCGCCACACGGGAGCCTCAGGGGGTGCGGCCAGCAGCCTGCGGCCCGGAGTGCTCCCGGCCTCTGCCCACACCCAGGGAAAGACCGGGTGCTCTTCTTAGGGACCCGGGCCCTCCAGCCTCTGTGCCAGGTGGAACAGCCCTGTCCCTCTGAGAGACGCAGAATCAGGAGTCATCAGGGAGCAGAGAGCCCCCCTCCCTGGATGCCGGCCCACCAGCTCCTCGGTCTCAGGCTTCCAGCCTCTGGAACTGTGGGAAGCAAACTCCAGTTGCTCCTAAGTGACGCCGCCTCTGGCACTTTGTTACAGCAACACCGACCGAGGCACGGGTGAAGCGGACACCCGGCTTCCCATCTCCACCCCAAGGGGTCCCTGCCAGGATTACAATACGAGGGGAACACGGGGTGGCCCAGGGCCTGACTCGGGGCTGGGATGAGTGGGGGTCGCACTCTGTCCACTCCCAGCCCCGGGCTTCCTTGTCTGTAAAGGGGTGTGGCCATGACCTGGCATTTCCAGGGACTGTGTCCCTCCTGCCACGAGAAGGGGAGAGTGGGAGGCCATGGGACCAGGCAGGACACAGAAGGTGGTGCCAGGGTGGGGCCGGGAGCCAGGCAGGGCGGACGGCCTTGGCTACAGTGACTGGGGCCGGGGTGGCATGAAGACCCAACCGCTAGCCCTGGGGCCTGTCACTAGCAGGGAAAAGGGGACGGGAAGGAACGGGATGGGACCTGCAGTCTGAGGAAAGAGACCTCAAGGCAAAGGATGGAGACCGTGGCAGGCTGAGTAGAAGAACGAGAGCCAGAGTTTGGGACTTGGAGCCCTGGATGTGCCACCAAGCAGCCATGTGCCTCAGCCACCCACTGCCGCGTGACAAAGAGCCCCGCGTCCAGGACTATGAGATGGTGAACCCGCATCTCTCCCAGCTCCTGAGGGTCCAGGATCTGGGTGACAGATCCTGAGCCAGGTGGCTCTGGTGGCTCAGGAGGCTCAGGATGGGGACCCTGTGGCCACTTGCAGGGGCCTCGGTGGCCTACCAGGTGACCACGCCACAGAAGGCTCACGAGCTAGCAGCTGTTTCCCCAGAAAGGCGATTAAGAGGGAACAACTAAGCCCGGGACGCAGGGACTGTCACTCCCTGCTCCGCACCCGCCACTCCACTGAGGCCAGGGGCCACGCTGGCCAGCCCGGTGGGGAGGAGTCCTGCGGGCTGTGAAGACCAGCGGAGGGGCCATGGGCCCTCCAGGTGGCACCCCATGTCCTGAGGGCCTGGCCCGTCCTTTGCCTCTCTGGACGCCGGCTCCTCCTCTGTACCTGGGGCTAACGGCCTCACCACCAGGGCTCACTGGCCCCGAGCCCTTGCCCGGGGTGGACACCCAGGGCAGGCCTGTGTGGTCTGCGGCTCTGACTTCCAATGCAGAGTCACTTGTGAATGGCAGCCGGGTCCCTTTCCTTCCTAGACCCTCCCCCAGTTCTACAGGACCCCCTTGCTCTCTGTCCCAGGTCACCCTGCTGTGCACGCCCCATCTCCGCACCACAGGGGTAGCTCAGCCCTGTGTCCAGCGGCCAGCACAGGCCCCGGGTGGCCCAGCACAGTGTTCCAGAAGGGCCAGGAACCGGAGAGTCAAATCCAAGGCTTCCAGGGGCGGAGCTCTAGCCTGGCCCCGCCCCCCTCCACCAGGGCTGGGCCCCGCGGCCCTGCACCCTCCAAGGCCCTGCACCCTCCAAGGCCCTGCATCCTCCGCAGCTGAGTCACTGATGAGCCCTGGCGCGAGGCTGTTCATCAAAGCCCGTGTCACAGGGAGCTGCCCTTTCCTGGGGTGCCACCAGGGGGTTGGCCTTTGTTAAAAATAGAAGTGTCTTCATGGCCTTTCTGTCCCTGAGGCAGCCCGAGAGGCCATTTTCAAATGCAAATTGCGTCCTCTGGCCCGGCTGGAAGCCCTTCCTTCCCTGCAGGGTCAGGGTGCGCAGGAGCTGCTCTGGGTGACATTGCTGTGGGACTGGCCTCCTGGCGCCCAGCCCTTCTCGGCTCCCAGGTCCTAGCTCAGCAGCGTCTCGCCCCCCTGAAAAGAGCAAGTGCCACTGGAACTCACAGGGGCTTCGGCAGAGGGGGCAGGTGACAAGGCCCTGGGGCAGGTGGGGCGGAGCCGCTGGGAAGCCCCTAGCTGCAGCCCTGAGTGCTGGGCCAGGCCCTGTTCTGCCGTGGGGCGGGCTGACGCACAGGCGGCCCAGCAG